CCTCAAGATTAAGGGCAAAGTGCACAAAGCAGTCTCTCACATATTTATTTAAGCAGAAAGAGCTGATACCAATGGGCCTTTGAGGCCATCATAGAAGAGTTCTTTAAGGCTTTGAGTTGCACTCCTGGATTAAACACTACCATAGACAGAACCAAGACTAGGGTGTAGAAAAGGCTTCATCTCTCAAGGGCAAAGTTATGGCAAAAATTAGAGAGATTTCTGTTGGAAGCATGCAGAAATCTTTGTCAGTTGTAGTTGATAGTGGTCACAGAACAATGATGATATGGAAGAGGAAGCAAGAACATGACCTACATTGCTGAGCGTTGGCTGAAGCTACAGGTCACATATAGATGGTAATGAAAGGTATTTCCCCTATTATTTCAACTCTGTTTTTTCACTGATGATAGCACATAGCAGCTGAGATAACACTGGTGCATAAATGAGCAACCAAGAGTGCTATATTTATGGAAAAAATAACACATTGGTATTTTGATTTATAATTTTTAATAAGTTCTTAATATAGAGAACTGGTAACATTTTATTATTTTTTAGTGTAATGATTGCATTGAAATTATAATAATTTAATTCACATAATGATAATTTTCTCATGTTTTCCTTTAAGGTGTGTTCACAAGTCAGTATTATGGTATTTAACACTTCTGAGGCAGAAACTGTATAATGTTGCAAATTTTAATTCTGTTTATGAAGCTTCTATTCTTTGCCTAATTCCAGATCCTAAGCACAATGGAAGACCAAAAAATTACAATATACTTTCCTTTATTTCAGAAATAAATGTATTTGGAGTAATAAAATGAGCGTATAGGTGCTTTCTAGTAAAGCTCATCATTGCAGGGGGGCTATACTAGTGGAAATGTAACAGCACTGGAACTGTGCACCTGAAAGTATTAAATTAGGAAGAAAATGAGAAATAAATATCTGTAGTCATTCCTCTTAGCCCTTTAGTGTGCCACACTGCTACCTATCACAATGGTCTAAGTGAGCGCACCAACTGTATCTAACCTCAAATGGACTTTGCAAACAAACAAGACTCCAGGTGGAATTATATTGATAAAGTTCAGGAGTCAATGTGCTTATAAGTTTAAATACCTTTAAGCTAGTTATTCAGATGTTAGAAATAGTGCTACATTTAAAAACAAAGTACAACTCTTATGTCATTTTTAATTATTTATCCATATAGATGTGTGTTTTCTTATGGACCAAAATGTGGCAGAGGTAAGGTGTGAATTTTTTATTTCTTACTATAACAATAATCTTTCACACAACAAAGAACAAGGGTAAATACGCAGTAATGGAGGATTATTTCTCAATCCCCAGTAGAAGCCCAGCCCAGTGAACACTCCAGCTTACTTGGGATATCCTATGTGGAATGGTTTCTCTAAAAGGTTAGCAACAACAACAACAAAAAAATAAGATATGATAAAAATAAAAGGTTGGAAACAACATTTATCAAAGGAGTCAGTTGACAGAGGAGTTAATAATGCAAACTTCATTGTGAGGAGGGTGGGTTAGGCTGCTCCAAAAAGATGAAAAGATTATGGTTCATTGGCCAACATTGTAGAATACAGAATGTGAACGACACTCCCAGGTGGAAGTGAAACTTCAGTGTGTGTGTGTGTGTGTGTGTGTGCGCGCGCGCGTGCACACATGTGAAAGAGGGGTGGGAGAGGAGAGAGGGAGAGATAGTGAAGTGGAGAAAGGCAGACAGACCTTGGTGAATGGATATTTCTCTTGAATAGAAGTACCATGGCCTACATAATAACACTCATGCTTTATAAAATTAAACCTAAACCTCTTCAGACAATATAATTAGGGCATCTTTCAAATTTAATGTTCTTTGATTACATATCAGGTAAGAGCAGACTGAGAAGAAAATATAGAGAGGAGGTGATGGAAAGAAAGAAGGATTCATGCCAAGACTATGAGTTTAGGGAAACATTCCACTTGACTACTAATGAGCACCATTTCAGGGAAGGAAGAATTAAAATTCCTATGATGTCATATTCTACAATTTGCTTCTTAGTTGACAAAATACTGATACCGAGTGAACTGGTACAGGAAGCAATTTTCAGGAAGAGGTTTAGTAAAGAGGTTCAGTAAAGATAGGATAGGTGAAAGAAATTATATTGTTTTCACTGGGAATGCTGGGAAGATGCACAAGAGGGAGACTCATCAGATAAATACTCCATTTACATTCATATGTGGGTAGAAGATTTTCAGATTGGTAGGCTCCCAGTATACCTAATAATAGAGTTCCACTTTTATTTTCTATTTTTATATGTACCATCAATGTTGATATGAAATTTTAAAATTTCATAGTGAACATTGTGCATATGCAGATATTAGCCTCATAACATACAGTGGATGATTTAGACAATCTGAGATGCTTGATTAAATGTTTCTGTCACTTAGTAATGGATAAGGCATAATGCACAAAGACTTCCATGGCCAGGCACATTTAGGCTATCTTAATGAAACTGCTTATAACGAATCACACAGATTCAAATTTTCAGACTTTCCCATCACTTATACCTAGCTGCTAACTCCTGATTACTGGAAGAGATAAAACTATAAATCAAGCCTCCCATTTTGGTTTCTCTAACGTTATTTCTCTCAGGAATTTTCATTCTTATATAGAAGGTATTTCATATGGAGTAGTGAAAGATTTGTTGACATAATGAGAGCCACAGAGCTTTTCGGGAGGTTGGATAAATGGGTTGTTTCTGACTCAGCACATAGATCTTATCACTGAGATTCAATCAACAATGTGCTATTTAATGATGGAATCGTTTTCAGGTCTACTTTACCGACACTTATTCAGGAAATGCAAATGTACATGCAAATATATTTCCAAATTATGAAGAGATTATATGATGTACCAAATTTATCATGTAATATACTATTCCCAAATGTAAATGCATTATCCTTTGTGCCCAGTTTAATACTTTGGATATTATATGTCAACTGTAACAAAATAAGATTAATGAAATAGCATATGGGAAATATCTGGAAGACAGACTATCACATGGTAGATATTCAGTGTATATACATATATATTTTTTTCATCTGATACATTTTATATCCTGGTCACACAAACACTGCACTTACATAAAATGAAGGGTAATGACTTGTTCTACAAAATTAGTTGTCCCATTACAATGTTTATTTAAATGTCAAGCCTTGTCAATGCATTTATTCTGTGATGCAGTTTAACCATAATTGACACCAATCTGCAAACATACAAAAATACACCTGTTGTGAGGCACATGGTGAAACTCTCTTACAGTCACTGAGAATACCATTATATCAACATTGACTGCATTTTCTCACATCTATATCAAGTTTTCATTAGAAGTTTTGCCACAGTTTTTACACTTTAATTGCAGCACTCTGCCCCCACTCTCAAATCCATTATTTGAGCATTTCTGAAATTCTCCCTCCTTATGAAGAATTCAAATAAAATCCTGCAGTTGTGTCAAAGGTTAGGTTTGGATCGGATGTCATACCTGTAAGTCTTAGTTGTTACTTAGAAAAATGTGTGATGATCCAATTTCCCACTTTGGATTCATCACAAGTGTTGCATAGATGTAATCATGATGACAGAATTTAGCAAATAGAAAAATTAACAGGAAACTTAAGTAAGTCTAATATAATTAGAGGTATGTGCTAAAAGAACAACCTCCTATAGTGAAAACACATGACCAGGCTTGTTGTTTACCAGATTTTAAATAAAATTATTATTACCAACTTAAGAAAAATGTAAAAACATATTAAATATAATTGACAATTTTATTTATTCACTCTGGTGCTCATTCTCCTTGAAACTATTTTTCCTGTTTTTCATTAAGATAAATAAAAACATAGAATATTTCAGATTGATGGCTGTTTTCAATCCACTGGTCCTGTTCCACTATTTCCTTGTCAAGCATTCATAATTAATGGTGCATGTAAGCAAAAAGTGACTCTTTGGTAAGGAAACATTTGCATCCATTAGTGTTTCTGCCCATCTCTAAGGTAAGGATCACGGTGGTGCTGAAAGGACAGCTCCGGGTCACCTGTGGACACACTACTTTGCCAGGAAAGGAAAGGAAGGACCGTGACAAAACTAAAGTAGACACATTGAGGACACAAGTTGTAGACAATTACCTCACAACTTCACACTACTTTCCAAGCAAACATCTAGCTGAAATTTGTTTTAAAGATTTTATGCGCAGTATAGCTGTCAAACTAGGACAAAAAAAAAAAAATAAAAAGCAGCCCCCCCTTTCACTTTTCTCAAAATAACAGCCTAAAACAGCACAATCCAAAGAAAATTCAAAAAAGTGAATTTTACAGATTTTTCTGTCTTTTAAATTGAGAGGTGCCAGCTTTTGTAAATAAGGTGGGGAGGGGGGAAGTGTAAAGATTTTGTAAAGGGAATTATCAGGTTGAAGATGAAGACTCGGGGGAGAAGAGTCTTCTCCAGGCTCAAACTGACACTCCTTATTCAAAGAAAACCATGCTCACGACCCACCCCGGCAGTCTTTTTGAGGACAGTCAGCTCAGCCCCAGGTGTATAATTCCAGGAGAAAGTAAATTAAGACAAAGCACCGCACATACCACTGGGGAGACAGCGGTAAGGTTAAACAGCATCGGGGTGCGGTAGTGACCAGAAGGAAAAGTGACCTCATTTTGCCTGGCGAAACACTAATTAACAAGCCCACGTTTGATGTGGATACCAGCGGTGGTAAAAGAGCACAAAGGGTGAAAGCTGGAGAGAGCAAACTTCCCGGTTCTTCCCCGCTCCCAGCCCTCAAAACCGCCGGGAGCAGGCACACGGAAGAACAACAAAGCTTGCGTCCAGGCTGCACAGCCTGCGCTGCCCGCGGCCGGGCCATCATCGCACCCCGGGGCGCGCCGCTCCCGCGCGGCAGAACCGGGGCGTCCGAGCGCGGACAGGACCGCCCGGGCACGAGTCGGGGGCCGGGGGTATGCTCCCCTACCTTGAGCAGCACAAAGAGCCACAGCAGGGACAGGAGGCTGCGGCCGCCGCGCGGTCTCGTGGGCAGGTGCCCCATCACGGTGCCGAAGGGGACCCGGGGGGACCGCGGCGCGTGCGAGCTCCCCCGGAGGCGGCTCACAATGGCGAACTGAGGCTGCCGCCTCAGACCGTGGGCGCCGAGGCTGCTCCCGGCTGGCGCATGCTGCCGTTCCAGTCCCCTTGCGCCTGCTCCCTTTCCTTTTCTGCGCCGGGGGTCCTCCCGGAAGGTGCCAGGCGCTGCCGTTCTTTAACAGCTAAGGATGGAGAGGGTGGGGATCGGAGTGGGCGAGGCTCTGCCGCCGCCGCCACCAAGGCTGCGGGTGGAGACGCGGGTCCGCGTGGCGAGCGAGAGGCGGGGGCCCTGCACCCAGCCCGTGGTCTGGCAGCCGGATACTCTCACTCTGCGCCGCGGACTCATAAAGTGACAGCAGCCTCCCAGCCCCCCACAGGGGTCCGCCTGCCGCCTCTTATCGCTGGACAGCCCCCATTGCAGGCTCCGCCCCAGCCCTTTCCACAGTCTTGGGGACTGAGGAGTAGTGAGGGGTTTCCCTGACTCCTCTTGAGCAACTTGGGGACCCGATCCCAGTCTCCTCTCAATCTTCCTGCATAGGCTCTCAGTTGCTGTACAGAAGTACAGAAACACTTGGAGGGAACTGGTGGTTGGGATGGGAGTGATGGAGTGCGTGGTGCCCGCATGTGTGTTTGATGGGGGGATTCCATTCTCTCCAACCCACTCCTACCCGGGAGGAAAGAGTATAATTACATACTCTTTCCATTTGAAATCAGCTCTTACAAATTTCAGGGGCTGTCTTTTGATACCAAAGTCGGTCAGGTTGCCTGAAGTGGAATGTAAAAGCCAAGGAGGGGGGGATCACAATATACTGCATATATTTATAAACATATACTTGCAAATGTGTAATTATTTGAGCCTTTCCAGAGTGGTATACTATTCTACATTCTCACTAGCAACAGTTGTGGGGCGGGGACGAGGTTGGTAGTTAAAGAGAGGTAATACGAGCAATCTTTGTGGTAATGATACAGTTCCCGGATCTTGATTGTGGTGGAGGCTACACAAATCTGCCTAGATGATCAAACGCATAGAAACTTCATGTGGCCCAGAGCACACACATACAAATGTCTGTAAAACTGGTGAAATTTGGGGGCACCTGGGTGACTCAGTCAGCTAAGTGCTTGCTTTGCGCTCAGGTCATGATCCTGGGGTCTGGGATGGAGCCCCTAGTCAGGCTCAGTGGGGAGCCTACTTCTCCCGCTCGTACTACCTCTCCCTGCAGTCATGCTCTCTGGCTCCCACTCTCTCTAACTCAAATCAATAAATAACATCTTAAAAAATTGATGAAATTTGAATAAGATCTATGAACTGTACCAATGTGTTTGGTAACTACATACTGTAGTTAAATAAAATGTTACCTTTGGAGAAAGCTAGGTGAAGGATAAATAGGACGGTCCTGAACTATCTTTTTATTGAGATATAATTGACATATAGCATTATATTAGTTTTAGGTGTACAACATAATGATTCAATGTTTGTATGTATTGTGAAATGATCACCAAAACAAGTCTAGTTAACATGGTCATCACACAGTTAGTGTTTTTTCTTGTGATGGGAACTAAGATCTACTTTTTCAGCAACATTCAAATATACAATATTAACTACCGTTACCATCCTGTATATTACATCCCCTTGACTTATTTAGTTTGTAAATGAAAACTTCGAACTTTTGACCCCCTTCACCCATATATTTTTAAACAAGTGTGAATTACTCCTGAATAACTGATCTGTGACTTTTAAGAAGCTCAGGCAACTACTTCCTAGCTGTTATGTGTAGTTTTTGGAAGATGTCTGTTAAAATAAACTACGTGTACTCTATTCAAATACAAATCACTCCGGGGTGCTAGATGACTCAGTGGGTTAAGCATCTGCCTTCTGCTCAGGTCATGATCCCAAGGTGGTGGGATTGATCCCCACATGGGACTCTCTGCTCAGTGGGGAGCCTGCTTCTTCCTCTCCCTCTGCCTACAGCTCCCTCTATTTGTGCTCTCTCTCTTTCTCTCTCCTCTGTCAAATAAATAAATAAAATCTTCAAAAAATATGTATATATATTTATCACTCCTTATTATCATGTAAATGACCTTTGCTGTGCCTTGCCAATAATGGAACTTCCTATTTGTCTTTGAGACATGCTTCAGCACCAGGAGACAGACAAGGTGACCTTGGTGATGAATGTAGGAGTTTGCCTCAGACCCACAGTTAGGGAGTAGTTGGCATGAAAAATGACCCAGGGCTATGTTTACTCAACTCTTTGCTAGATAACTTAATGACCAAACACAAATCACTTGGTTGGTACGTATATGTGTGTCTAAGAAAGATTTAGATTGAATATATTTACATGTGTATGTATGTGTACTAAATGCTCAAAGATGTAAAGAATAATGGTCTAAATTTATGTGAAAATACTGCCTTTTGTGTCTTCCTTTAAAAGCATCTTTTGTTGTCATGTTCTTCCCCCTCATATGCTCACTTTTAGTGCCTTTATACCCTCTCTTTGTTGGCCTGGACCTTTTCTTTCTCTTGGGAAAAGATTAGCTGCTTTTCCCTCCCTCTGGATCAGACACATGGGCTACCTGAAAATTTTGTTCTTGGGACTGGAGCTATAGGGGCTTTGTTTTGATATGTTTTCCTTTTAGTTTGAAGCTCCTGAAAGCAACATTCTATTCTCACACTCTCTCAAAAGTGGCACTAAAGTGATTTAATGTCTAGAACTAAAGATATGTTTAGATCAGTGGCAAAAGCCTACTCACAAGTTGTGAATAATTCCTCTTTTGAGTCGAGTTTGATTTTAAAGTGTTATGGTTTGCATATATATATATATATATATATATATCTTTATATGTGTGTTTACATGTATGTGAGTGTATGTGTGTAGATACACAGGTATAGGCTTAGCTGATATATGTAGGGCAGTAGAAAGCAATTCTATTGATCATACAATCATCCTGTAAATGCAAAAAGAAATTTCACAGTGATGTATATTTTTACAGAATCATACTTGCTATGTTGTCTTTCTATTTTTTCTTCCTCACTTACACCACAATTTGTTTAGCCTTTAATGCCCTCATACATGGGTACATATGGACCACTTCTGGAGAACAATAACAGTGAATGGTAACCAGCAAAACTTTACCCATTAAAGTATTTATAATTAGCATTATTAATATTCCATTAAGTACCACTATGATTAGATGGCCTGAAGACTGACAGTATCATTTCATAACCACAGAAGATTTTCTTTCCAGAGAAGAGTGTTTTACTTAGTTGCTGATGATAAAGGAAAAAAAAAAAAAGTTTCACTTGTTTTTATTGCACTTAAAATGGTAACAGTCTTGGGAATCTTCCTAGAAGAAGCTCCCAAGAAGAATGTGAAAACTAGATCATCAGCAGTTTGGGGTCTTCAATCTATGGGGCATGCTCTGTGCCTCTTTTAACTATCAACTAGTTTTCCAGTGGAATACTTCCAAAGTATGGTAAATCTTATGCTAGCTTTCAGGCTCCAAAGCGGCAGGAACTGTCATGGGCGCGTATAGTACAAGCAGTAATGTGTGTTTCACTGATCCTTTCAAAATGTTTGTTCTGATTTCATCATCCCGACAATACTTATTGGGTAAAGAAGACACAGATCATTATCACCAACTATTTTATCCCTATGGCTGCTTTTCTTGGAGAAAAGATACATGGACAAAACAGAATCTGTTATGTGCTCTCAGGCAGGTGTTTAAAAAATGAATTTGCACAAATTGAAATAAAGCTCTCTGCAGCCTTTGCGAGTAATAATAACGTTGCTAATGAACAAGAGACTGGAAGATCTCTCTAAAAATCTGCAAGAGGCTTTGTTTTTGTTAAGCAAACCCATCTTTTCCCAAACATGTGAAAATGTGCCAGTGCCTGTGTGTTCACATCTCTCTCGTCTGTGGAGAGAGTAGCGGTAGCCGCCACGGAGAAAGAGCCGTAATCCCTCGGAGAGGTTTAATGAGGAGTCAAATGGAACCCTTACAGTGCTCTTGCCAACGAAGTTCAATTCTGTTCTCCAGGGACCAACTCTAATGCGGTTCACTGTGTTCAGCCCTGGCTTCCACGACTGAAATCGCCTCCAAGGCTGTCATCAGGTTTGGTATTAAAATCGTATTTATGGGAGTCGCTCAATGACAAATAGTTTACTTTAGATAGAATGCAGAAAAAAAACAAAAACCTGAAGACATTGATATCAAGACAAAAAAAAACAAAAACAAAACAAAAAAACCCTCAAGACCTCGACATTGAAAAGCACAGTCCTAAACATGCAGTTTGTCATCCATATCACATGTATGACCATTGTTATAACATGCGAACTGGAGACTCTGTGTAATATGTGCTTAAGATCCGGCGGCCAAGCAACATTCTGCTTTTCAATTTGTTTGAGCACTTCTTTTAGTTTTTCTCTTCATGAACACTGGTTTCTCACCTCCAAGACATGTTGACAACTCATAAATTCTGTCTTCCAAAGTGAGAATGATTGACAGCCCTCAGGTGGATAGCGTGTTCCAACTGCTGAGACGTATTACTCTTGCCACACTGGAAAAACAGTGAAACTCACCATGGAAGGTCATTTTTGCTTCTCCATGGAGAATTTTTTTCCCATGGCCTTTTTTCCTTCTTAAGTAGTTCCTACTCGGGGCTTTTTCTTTTACTTGACTCTTGCATGGTTTTAAGAAAAAACAAATAAGAATAGTGTATTACAAGGTATAGGTTTTATGACACAAGATCAGCTGCTCCAAGGAATTAAGAAAACTTACAGAGAAAAAAAGAAAAGAAAACTTACAGAGAAACAAGAGCAGATATTTAACATTGGACACAAACTGCAGGCTATAGAATGAAGGATCCTAAATGAAGAAGGTTGTCACTTTTAGAAACCCTCCCTTCTTTCAATTATATTCTAGGATTACTGTGTGTTGTTAACATTTCCTTAGTTACCTGGAAATTAGAAAAAAAAATAGAAGATACTAAACAGCCTTGAGTTATGCAGTTTTATCCTGTATTTAGTTTACAGGTGATGCATTGGCTAATAAGCTTTTATAATATTTGTTTTCTGAGCTTCCCCAGACATTGTTATTATCTATTCACTTAATTCTCTTTCATTAGTGCATTTCTTGACTAGTTATAATTTAAAGCATTAAGATCCTACATGG